CAACAAAGCATCGTCGTTGTTGCACTAATTCTTACTCGAGGCGTCGAAGGAAAAATCTAGAACCTTCAAGAATTTTCGACGAGAGAAGAGTAGGAGTAATACCCTTGGATGATCGTATAGTATATTATATTTCGGGTCGTAAACTTGCTCGGACTTACCGAGTTTTGTTTCTAAACATTCCCTCGAGTGCGCGTTCCGGTCCGCACGTGCGTACCAGTCTAGGCGCACATGCTGTACGTCGGATAACGCGTATGACCTTTCTTTTGTTTGAAATTCATGGATCTGCATCAATCCCGAACAGTTCCACTGACCATGAAATGATAGTATTAGATATTATTTACCTCATCATGGTGTAATGAAGCCGAACAGCTCCATCACCAATTTAAGAGGAGTATTCAACGGATCAAGCCCAACAACATCGGGACAATCATTAAATGATATAATGCACACAGAAGCTAACTTAAATCCAGATATCATAGATTTGCTATTTGGATACGTAGACATCCATACCTATTTTCCACAGACATCACAAAGATGTTGTTACGGAATAATTGCACTGTCCCTTCACTTGTCAGCAACACCTCCACTCAACATCTAAAGGCGGTTTTTTTAGTCTGATCCCAGACAGCAACTATATTCATTAATAAGAGTGTGCATAATTAGTTGTTGATGCTTATAAAATCAACAACACCATCAAGGAACATCTCGCGTAGGAAAACTATTCACTACAGAATCAGTTCAAGCAGTTAAATCATTCTGATTGAACATAGTATATACCCTTCCATCAGATAATTTGAACATAACAATAATGTAATTGAGAATAAACTTTAATAAGCCATATTAAACGAAGAAGCGCACACTGTAGTAATGTACACCCCTTCCACGAAACTCCTTCCCAAGCATCTGCTAGGGCAGGCGGCAAATTATAATAAGCTATCGAACATTGGCAGTTCGAGCCAGAAAATCATACATTTTCGTACACAATGGATTTGTCAATCTAAGCTTTTTGAATCTAAACACAATACTTTATAATAAATATATATAACTAATATTACGGATTATAAATAGCGTTTTTAAAAGTTGAAAAATGATAGTATTAGATAATAGGATATTAATGTTAAAGTTTCATTGTTTGAAATAATTTAATCAGGCAAGTATTAAGGAATATTGCACAATAGTATAGGATTTATCAGATATATACATATTAAATTACTATTATTAGGAAACATTCTTATTTTAAATTTTAATTTTATATATAATATTGAAAATCCTCATGAAATAATAAATTAAGTATAAGTTAATGACTTGAAGAATAGAAACATGTAGAAAATTATAATGTATTGGAATTTTTAATAGGAGCTCATGAAAATTTTCAAAAATATATCAAAAAATAAAAGCCATTAACTATGTGTGAAAAAATTACTTAATCTTTTTAAAACTGATAATAATTGTACAAAATATGTTATTGTTTTTTTAAAAAATCACTATTGTAAACAGTAAATTAATAGTGACCAATGTATTCATTACCACTTATCAAATCTGGATATCTATTAAAAAAGATTTTCATAAATTATATATTAATCTAACTATGAAGTAAAATGTAATTATACTCAAGCCTTTATAAATTATAATAAAATTTTAGGATGTCAACGTTCAAACCTAATATAACACTAGCTGTTTCATCAACTATTTCGGATATTCGATATTTTCGATAGATTCAATGTTATTAGATTATTAACATTATATAATCTATGTAAAATATGTTATTATTTTCATTATTAAATATTATTTGATTATTTGATTTTATTGAAATATTATAAAATGAAAATATATCAATGCAAATAGATATATTTTATATATTTTCTGTTAAACACATTGTTCGGGATTGAAGCAGTCCCATGAATTTCAAAGAAAAGAAAGGTCATTTACGCAGTCCGGCGTACCGCATGTGCGCCTAGACCGACCGCGCGTGCAGCAAGGCTGGCTACCACGTGCGCCTAGGCTGATCCGCACGTGCGGACCGAGGCGGGCACTCGAGAAAATGTTACAAACAAAACTCGGCAAGTCCGAGCAAGTTTACGATTTGAAATATTATTTACTGCCAGCACTCACAAAAAAAGGACGCCTTCGAAACTTCTAGAAGCTTCGTTTTTTTGTGAGTGCTGGCAGTAAATAATATTTGAAATCGTAAACTTGCTCGGACTTGCCGAGTTTTGTTTGTAACATTTTCTCGAGTGCCCGCCTCGGTCCGCACGTGCGGATCAGCCTAGGCGCACGTGGT